TATATATATGGGGTGTGTGTGTATGTGTGTGTGTGCTTGTGTGTGTGTTTTCATTGGAAATCTCTCATACTCCTTTGATTGACTACCTTTTCACATATTATGGTTTTGGATCCGTGAATATGAGTCGTCTTCATCATGCATCATGTGCTTGTCAACTACTAATTCACTCCCTATATCGTTACTTGTATTCTGACACACATGGTGGTATCATAACCACACTTTGTATTCCGTGTGCTAGCTGATGTGCTTGTCTTCCCATATGCTCAGATCGTGCCTACTACATCATGTACACTACCATCAGTGTTCACATAGACATAGTCATCTCCTCAACAACTAACCACTCTCTGTGTGCAGGTGATAGAAACAAAAGGCCCTGTGCACATAGCCGGAGCACCTCAGAATGAGACGGATCTGCAGAACATACGACCACTTCACGACGCCTCGGGTGTGTGTCTTGCTTCGTGTGTTGTATGTGCACACACAAGTGTGTCTTGTACCTGTACAGCACATACTCGTCGAAGTTCTCGGGCTCGTATGTAATATTTATATGTCCATTCTTGTGTCGGTCAGTGTTTACATGTGCGTTCATCTCCTGTGTGCGGGTGTGTGGATTAGTCGTGTGTAAAGAATAGCCTGTCCCCAGTGACCGCTCAACTCAATATATAAAACCAGTTGGCATCAACACAACACAGTTGACATGAATTGTCTTTGTTGTATGTGGTACACATCAACACGTGTGCGTAGTGCGAAGCTTTTATTTTAAGGCGGCGTTAGCATACATACTTATTAACCAATGATAACGCTTGCCACAAATGTTTAGTTGCCGAAGGGTCGCAGACGAGACGACTTATATTTCTGTGGTGGTGGTCTTGGATTGTATAGTTGTATTTGAGAGTCGCATGGGTGTAGTGTTGTATTGTATGTGATTTGAAATAATGATATAAACATGTACATATAGTGATATAGATAGGTTTATTGCCTTGTCTATATTTGTGTGAATAACCGTATAAATATATACATACAGAGATATAGACAATTCATTGCCTTGTCTATATTTGTGTGAATAACCGTATAAATATATACATACAGAGACATCGACACTTCATTGCCTTGTCTATATTTGTGTGAATAACCGTATAAATATATACATACAGAGATATAGACACTTCATTGCCTTGTCTATATTTGTGTGAATAACCGTATAAATATATACATACAGAGATATAGACACTTCATTGCCTTGTCTATTTTAGTGTGCATAAATATATACATACATAGATATAGATACTTCATGGCCTTGTCTATATTTGTGTGAATAACCGTATAAATATATACATACAGAGATATAGACACTTCATTGCCTTGTCTATTTTAGTGTGCATAAATATATATACATACATAGATATAGATACTTCATGGCCTTGTCTATATTACTGTGTTGATTTATAAAAATCAGCTATGTTGAAATGGATTACATCTACTTGTGTTACATACACACCACCCATTCTTAATCAGATGCCATGTGTGTTGTGTGTTGCTTACATCTACTTGTGTTACATACACACCACTCATTGCTTAATCAGATGCCATGTATGTTGTGTGTTGTGTGTTGCGTGTTGTGTGGTGTGTGTTGTTTGTTGTGTGTTGTGTGTGGCCTACATCTACTTGTGTTACATACACACCACCCATTGCTTAATCAGATGCCATATGTGTTGTGTGTTGTGTGTGTGTTGTGTGGTGTGTGGTGTGTGTCGTTTCTTGTGTGTTGTTTGTTGTGTGTTGCTTACATCTACTTGTGTTACATACACACCATCCATTGCTTATTCAGATGACATGTGTGTTGTTTGTTGTGTGTTGTGTGTTGTTCACATGCATGTGTTGCTTGTTCGAATGTCTTATGTGTTGTGTCTTATGAGTTGTGTGTTGTGTGTTGTGTGTTGTGTGTTATTCACATGCATATGTTGCTTATTCGAATGTCTTATGTGTTGTGTGTTGTGTGTTGTGTTGTTCACATGCATATGTTGCTTATTCGAATGTCTTAGGTGTTGTGTGTTGTGTGTTGTGTGTTGTTCACATGCATGTGTTGCTTATTCGTTATTCGAATGTCTTATCTGTTATGTGTACTTCCACAGTCATGCACAGTCATGCCATTCTACACCCCCTGCTTACACCGTAGCACTGTTATGCACACCTTCACAGTAATGGAGAACATTCGCGTACGCTTCCGCGAAGAGTCCTTCTACACGTACACTGGCAAGTCACTCATAGCCATCAACCCCATGAAGCCTGTTGCTGAGCTGTATGATCGAGCACACATCCTCAAGTACAACAGTATCCAGGAACTGTGTGACATTCACTTGGAAGACCCGCACATCTATGCCGCGGGAGAGACGGCGTTTCGACAAATGATCCAAACACAGAGCCCTCAGAGTGTTATTGTGAGCGGAGAGAGTGGCGCAGGGAAGACGGTCACCTCCAGGTAGGTGCACGTTTTCCTGTACCTGTACCTGTACGCATAAGTGTGAGTGTATGTCTAAGTGTCGGTGTAAGTGTATGTGTAAGTGTAAGTGTGGGTGTAGGTGCACGGCAAACGGGTGGGTGCGCATTGATTGTGGTGTCTGCGGGAAGATACATGTGGAGGATAGATAGAATAGAACATGTCAGTGGTTGGTCGATAAGGATAGAAGGGTCTCTTTATCTACCAGTGACATGTGTCATTCGATCTATCTCCCGGCAAGTACAGTGTGTATGTGGGTCTGTTGATACACTATTGCTTAACTATATATGGTTATATACTAATTATATACTATGGCTATTTATAAACTATTGATCTCTTATCTACCCTCCACTTGCTTACCCATACCCCCTCTGTAGGTATCTGCTACAATACTTCACCATCCACACGCTTACCCATACTCCCTCTGTAGGTATCTGCTACAATACTTCACCATCCACACGCTTACCCATACCCCCTCTGTAGGTATCTGCTACAATACTTCACCATCGTCGCCGCATTAGCCAAAGAACGCGAAGATGCAGAGCACGAGAGCAGCGCCACAAGTCTAATCAACAGTCGACCAGCCACACCCCCACAGCAACTACAACAACAACAACAACAACAACCACCCACCGCCATGATGCGGCACCACTCGTCTGTGCACGCGTTACACGAACGCAAGGGCGAGATGGAGGCCAAGATCATTGTGTCGAATACGCTGCTGGAAGCCTTTGGCAATGCAACCACGCTGAGGTACATGTGTATGTACATGTGGATGACTATGTATATGACTATGTATATGTATATGTGTATGTACATGTATATGACAATGTATATGTACATGTATATGACTATGTATATGTACATGTACATGACTGTATTTGACTTTGTATATGACTATGTATTTGACTATGTTTATGACTATGTATATGTACATGTGTATGTACATGTATATGACTGTGTATATGACTTACTTTTTCTCTGTTCCTTTCTGTTTTGTCTGTAGGAAAGAAACATGGAAAATGTGCGCCAGGCACTTTTGTATTGCGATTATATATACATATATA